CTAATGCTTACAGTGTACACTGTAACATCACAGTTCACCTTCAAGTAATACTTGTCATTTCACACATGGTGCAAGAAACCCATGAAAGTCTGCCCCCGTCCCGTGCTGGGCGCTCTCATACTTCAGTCTGCAGATGCCATGGCCACCATGATACTTCGCTATCATTTTTTTCCTTAAATGAGTCTTTCAAAAGGATTCTTAAATGAGGAAAAAGTATCGTTAATATTTACCCAAATAGTTACTATTTCTAGCTCTTCATGGCTTTGTGTAGATCTGTTTCCACCTGACCTCTCCCAGCTTTGGTTGATCTTCACCCTCTGTTGTCAAAGATATTTTCACTAGACATAGATTTCTACATTGCTGTTTGCAGCACCTCAGTGGTTTTACTGTCTTTCAGGCTGCAGAGTCTCTGGTGAGAAGAAATCTGCTGTTTTTGTCCCTCTATGAAGATGAGTCTTGTTTCTCTGCATTTTTTCTTTTTATCTGATATTGAGCAATTCAATAATGATGTAGGATTATATGGTTTTTAATATTCCTCCTGATTAAGGTTTGTTAAGCTTCTTGGGTTTGTGGATTTATTGCTTTCATCAACTATGGAAACTTTTTGGCCGTTATTTCTTCCACTGCTGTCTTTTCTCTACCCTCCCCCAGGGAGGCAATGCTATTTACACTACAATGCTGGCTACTGTCCCAGAGCACACTGGGTTCCTGGATCTTTATTTATTTGACTAACTTGCTATCTGGAAATTCCACTTTTGAATTTCCAGATAGCAAGTTAGTATATATATATATATATATATATTTTTTTTTTTTTGCAAGGCTTACTGAAGTAGAGTTCTCTGAGTTTTATAAGCATATATTGTCATGAAACTGCTACCTAATCAACACAGAGTGATTCCATCCCCCAAAAGCATTCTTTCAGGCCCCACTGTAGGCAGCCCTGGCTTCCCACCCCCGCTCCCGGCGACAGACCTATCCCCTGTGCCCACAACTGTGACTTTTCCATAATGTCACATAATTGGAATCAGGAAGTATGTAGCTTTTTGAATGCAGGCTTCTATCAGTCAGCGTGGTGGATCTGAGATTCAGTCATGCTTTCATTGGGATCAGTTCTTGCTTTCTTGTTGCTGGGAATTCCATTGTAAGAACGTATGCTTGGTGAATCATTCACCAGCTGAAGCACATGTAGGCTGTTTCCAGTTGGGTTGGTTTTTTGTTTTAATTGTAAATAAAGCCACCATAAGCACTGACATAAAGGTTTTACTGTGAACATAAGTTTTCATTGTTCTTGGACAAATACTCGAGTGGGATTGCTAAGTAATTGCATCATTTAACTTTGTAACAAATGGCCAAGACACATTCAGTGTGGCTGTGTTATCTTCAGTGAGAGTTAACGTTGCTACACAATCTCACCAGAACTTGTTTTTTCCCATTTCTCAACCATTCTGTTCAGTATGTAGTGTTATTTTGTCATGGTAGTAATTTGTTTTTTGCTAAAATCCAGTGTTAAACATTTTTATGTGTTTATTTTCCATCAGTATGTGTTCCTTTGTGAAACAGCTCTTCAAATCTTTTGGCCACTTTTAATTGGGTTGGCTGTTTCCTTGTTATTGAGTTCTGAGATTTCTTTATATATTCTAGACCTATTCCTTTATCTGAAATGTGTTTTATAAATACTTTCTCCTAGTTTTTGGTTTGTCTTCACTTACTTAACAGTATCTTTTGAAAAGCAAAAGATATTAACTTTGATGATAATATTCTGAAGATACTAACTTTGGTAAAATCTAATTTATAAAGGTTTTCTTTCATGGATCATGGTTTTGGTATATTATCTAGTAAATCTGCATAACCCAAAGTCACATGTATTTCCTATGTTTTCTTATGATTTTATAGTATTAGGTTTTACATTCAGGCCTATGATCTATTTTCAATGAACCTTTGAATACGGTGAAAGAGATTTTGTATATATGGAAATCCAGTTTTCTAGTACCGTATGTACATAAGCCTATTCTTTCACTGAGTCGCCTTTATTCCAGTTTTAAAATCATTTTACCACATATGTGTGGGTCTGTCTCTGACCTCTCTACTCTGTTCTACTGGTCTATGAGCTGTGCTGCATGAACACTGCAGTATCTTGGCTACTGTGGCTTCAAAGTAAGTTTTGAAACCAGGGAGCACACATCCCTTAACATTTCTCTGCATTTTCAAAATTTTAGCTATTTTACATACTTTGCCTTTCCATGTAAAATTCTGAATAACCATGGCATTTTGCACACAAATTCCTGATGGGATTTTTATTGGGATTACGTTGAGTTTGTAGACTAATTTGGAGAGAACTGACAATATCAAATATTCTAATCCATAAACATGGTATAGCTCAATATTTATTTAGATCTTAGTCAAATTCTTTCAATGGTGTTTTACAATTTAAGTATATAGAACGTGCGTACATTTTATTACTCTGGTATCTACACATTTCATAGTTTCGGTGCCGTCACAAATACTTTTTATCTCGATTTCTATTTGTTTGTGGCTAGAGTTTACAAACACAAGATTCCTTCTCACTGCACAGACAGAGCGCCTGTGAAATGCTCTGGCAGGCGTGGCCGCTGGGAAGTCAAGCCCCAGTGTGAGGTGAGAGCTTACTCAACATTCTAAACAAGAAGCTGGCACACTTTTTCTGCAAATAGAGCTCAAATAGTTAATACCTTTAGGTTTTTCAGGCCATACGGTCTTGATAGCAATTACTCAGCTGCTACCCTGCTGCCGTAGAGGCACAGACAATGCGTACATGAACGCGATGGCTGTTTTCCAATAAAACTCCATTTACAAAAATGGGTGGTGGGTGGGAGCAGCTTGCTGCCCCTTGTCCTGAACAACACTTGCTGTTAAGCTGGAATCCTGGGTCCATCCAGGTGTCGGGAAGGGAATGAGCTGCAGGAGGATCTGGTCAGCACCCATGCTGTCACCTTGGATCAAATAGGGACCAATAATCCCAGGAGGGAGGAATGATTTAAAAACCCATCGACGGCCTGTTAGAATTCCAGCCTGTCAACTGCAATCATGGGTTCCCGTGGACGAGGGCCCCATGGCTTCACTACCCCATGACTGCCTGTCCTTGGAATATCTCCAGAGTCACTCACCTGTAGACCTAACAACACTGTCAGACCCCCCGGAGCCACACACCCACAACGGCAAATGAAACCACACACTTGTCACGGAGAAGACACTGAGAGGAGGTACGCCCCGTGCCTCTGTGAGTGTGAGACGGGTGCAGCCTCGAACTCTCCCCCACGTGGGACGGGAGGTGGCTGAGCTCACAGGGCGAGGGCCAGTCTGCCAACTCTTCGGGACAAAGCTGTGGGCTGAACCTTATAGAACGAGCCTGTTCTGAGCGCAGAGGACAGGAGGCTGTGTATTTATAAGCAGGCACGGTCGTCTGATCCACCGCTAGCGCCGAGCACCTACGGTGGAGCAGGCCCGGGACAGACGAGAGCAGAGCACGGAGAGCAGAGCAGGACACAAACAGGATCTGCCCGACCCAGGTCTCCGGTTCTCAGAGCCCTGGGGGGAGGGCCGGGTAGTATCAGCTCCTCCGTGGCGGATCGTGCCCGGGGGACATCTGCCATGTCTGGAGGTACTTTTGGTTGCCACAACCAGGGATGAGGATGCTCCTGTCCACCTAGCGGTGGGGGTCAAGGACCCTGCTGCACACGCTTCAGCGCCCCGGACGGCCCTGCACAGAGAACACTCTGTCCTGAAGGCCAGCCCCGCGCCGAGGGCAGACACCTCCTAAGGTCACAGAACTACTCTGCAGCTGTTCTGGGCCCGAGGTCTACACAGGCGAGAATTAGCCTCAGGACACCTGCGCCCAACACAGTTCACTTCAGATAAAACATGAAACAAGTCTCGGTCACAGTGTCTGTACGGCCTGGCTGCGCTCACACCAGGGCAGGGGTCCCGGGAGAGCCTGAAGGGGAAGGAAGGTCTTTACTCCGGCAGAACTAGCTGAACCCCGCCTTCGCCCAGGACGAACTGCCCTGTGAAATGACGTGCAGAACTGTGTCACTTCCGTCGGCCCGAGCTGCACCCCGCCCAGGCTCTGCGCTGTGGGCCCCAGCATCGCGGTCAGGCTCCGGGGGCGGGGCTGTGTGGCACGCGGAGCCCAAGCAGGGCACGTGCAGCTGCCCGCATGTGGCATGACGCCCGCACCGCTGTCTCTTCTAGTACAACCCACTCCGGCAGTGACCGGACAGGAAGGCTGTAGGGGGACCGGTGGAGGCCCCCTGTGACCTCAAATCACAGGGGTGAGGCCACCCCGGGACAGGAGACACAAGAAGACCACAGGCTACGGGCTCCCGGACACATGCCCACAGAGTCCCACGGCAGCTCCGCTCAGTACACATCCTCCAGGGGCGTGGTCCGCACGCACTCACACACGTACAAATATTTGTGCACACCACATCCATGGGGACATGGGTGTGCAGTTCAAACACACGTATAGATACATGCACACACCATATCCATGCACACGGGGACACACACATGTGCACACACACGTGTAGATACACACACACCACATCCATGCATATGGGGACACACACATGTGCAGTGCACACACACGTGTCCACTTGTGTGTCACCAAGTATGACAAACATGTCTAACTGGAATCTAAAACACCTTTACACACAAGGACTCAAAATTTTCCTTGACTCAAAGTTGCCGTGGAGGCTGTCATGCTCATCGGCCCGACAGGAAGTGGAGAAGGGCAGTTCACACTCACAGAAGCTGCCCTCTGGCTGAATGCTGCTGCTGACCTTGGGGGGGGGGGGGTAAGACCAGCGCCCCCTCCGTCTTACCTTCTGCCCTGCAGCCCGAGCACGGAAGGCTTGCACGGAAAATAATTCCCATCCGGGCTCTGGCTTGACCCCCGCCTGGCTGCGCTGCAACAAGGGGGTGAGGTGCCCGGCGGTGGAGTCAACAAAACCTGAGGCTCGACAAACCTTAGATTAGGCAACGCTGCCCTTTTATTTTCTTTTCCATAAGGCAGTAGCGTTCCTCAGGGAAGGGACACAGTCTTGCACGTTATTTTACGGCAAAAAGAGCTACATCTGTCTCTGCTTGTGTTTTGGGTTCGTTTTGCAGTAGATGAACCAGCGCCCGCGCCTCTTCACCCGGTAACAGTCCCTGCAGCGCTCCTTGATGACGCCTTTGGTCTTGAAGCCCAGGGCGAGCTGCAGGCCGGGCAGGGGCGGGGGCCGGGGCCCCGCGGGCCCCGCCAGGAGCGTGGAGAGCACGCGGGTCTTCGCCGGGCCGGGGCTCCGCCGGAACAGAGGGCTCAGGGCGGACGCCAGCATCCTCGCCACGAGCACGCGGGCCATGTGGTGGCCGAGTCTGCGCGGGACAGAGAAACGACCCATGTGGCCTCCGCGCGGGAGGAGGGGCTTCGCGGGCCGGCCCTACCCCCGCCCCCCGGGCTCTTTCCCGGCTCCCCCGCCGCCACTCGGCGCCCGTCGGTTGTCCCCGAGCCCTTCCCCTGCCCCGCCCGCCCCCCGCCCGCCCCCCGGCCTCTCCGCCGGAGCTCCTCGGCTGTCCCCGGGCCCTTCCCCGGCTCCCCCGCTCCCTCCGCCGCCGCCGGCGGGGAACAGCACCCCTTCGGGGCGTGGAGAGCCCGGACCTGCGGCCGCGACTAACCGGGGACCGGGGACCCCCGAGCCTCCGTCTCCTCCTCCTCTCCGGCCCCTTGCGACCCCCAGGACCCCAGACCTGGGAAGAGGGCGACGGGGACCGCCGGCCGCGCGCCTCGCATGCGCCTGCGCAATGGGGCGGGGACGCCGCCGCCCGGAGTGTCTGCCGGAAAGAAAGATGGCGGCAAGTCACGTGGCCGTCCCCGCGGAACTGGACGCAGAGGCGGAGCCGCCGGAGCGCCTGAGATCCGCAGGAGGGCAAAATGGGAACCGAGACACACGTCGGCGGTGCAAAACAAGGGAGCCTGGGGGCTCAGTAGGTTGAGCGTCCGACTGCGGCTCAGCTCATGATCTCGCGGTACGTGGGTTCGAGCCCCGCGTCGGGCTCTGTGCTGACTGCCAGCTCGGAGCCTGGAGCTGCTTCGGATTCTGTGTCTCCCTCTCTCTCTGCCCCTCCCCTGCTCCCGGTCTCTCTCTCCCTCTTTCTCAGAAGTAAATAAAACGTTAAAAATTTTTAGAATGAAAAACAAGTCACAACCAGTACACGTTTAAAAAAAAACCGAATACCGTCGTCAAAACAAAACCTAGAAGGCCCCGCATGACTGCATTCAGGGCCGTGCTGGGAGAAACGTGGCGAGGCTCAGGGACGCGGCGGGGACCCGCCCTCCCGACCCGTCCGGGCGCCGGCAGGCCCCGCTCAGGCGGCTCCGGGGCGGGGCGCCGTCGGGGCCGAGCCGCACGGGGAAGGGCGCCGGACGCGCCCGCCGCTGGCTCCCTGGAGCCCCGCCGCACACGCCCCGGAACACGCTGCCCCCGCGGCCGCAGGGGCGCGCGCCGCGCGACGGGACGTACGGTTTACTCAGTGCGGGGACCCTCCGCCAAGCAGAGCATTCGACTGTAACCGCTCCCGTGATTATCGATTATCGTCGAAGGTGAAGAGTGCGCTTTCACTCCCCCCCCCCCCCGGCGGGAACCACAGCGGCCGCCAAACGCCCAGGCTGCGCACAAAACTTCCCGCCTTTTCCGCACCGAGCCTGGGCCCCGCCGTGGCGCCCGCCGGGCTGCACCCGCCCGCGCGCAGTGCGCTTGCGCATCCCCTCCCCCACCGCGTAAGTCGCCCCAGCCGGAGCCCGGCGGAAGCCGTGCGCACGCGTCAGCGCGTCGGTGCGCCGGGTCAGGGGTCAGCCCGCAAAGATGGCGGCGGCGGTGACCTTCTGCCGGCTGCTGGGCCGGGGGGGTCCGGCGGCGCTGAGCCTGCCGCGCGGCGCCAGGTGTCTAGCGGCGCGGACTTCGCCGACCGGGGAGAAGATTACGCACACCGGCCAGGTAGCCGCCGCGGCGTGGGGGACGGCCTCCGCCTCGGCTCGCCGCGCCCCGGTGCCTCCCGTTCCCCCCGAGCCCGGGGCCGGCCCCCGGTCTGATTGGCGGGGAGGCGTGCGGGTGTCGCAGGCTCTGACGGACGGGACGGGAGCGCCCCAGCCCACGGCCGCCGCCCGGCCCCTGCAGGTGGGGTGCACTCGACCTCCGAGCTTCGCCCCTGTGGACGGCTTACCGTGGCGGCCCGCGACTCCCGGCGTCGCGGGCAGGGGCCTGCGTGTCAGCGCGGCGCTCGCTAGTGCGTCTTAACACGTCGAGGGCAAAGCGGGGGAGGTACCTAGGTTAAGAGACCCCTAGCAGGCACCCATCCGATGTCGGCCAGGGGTGAGGAGTTGGGGGTGCCTCTCCTGCCTGGTTTGGTCTCTGCTCTTTCAAACTCCACCTCGCTACCTTCCGAGTCAGATGTTCGCCCCTCCTCATCCTCGGTATCTTGCTGAAGAATGCGCCTGGTTACCCAGTGTGGCTTTGCGCCTCTGCGCTTGGTCATGAGTGGGCAGATTGTTAAGAAAAAACACTTTCCTGTAGTGTTTACTGTTGATATTCAGGGACATCTTTCCGAATCAGGCTGTGAAAATCACATAAGATCTTTTTCTTTTCAGGTTTATGACGATAAAGACTATAGGAAAATTCGATTTGTAGGTCGACAGAAAGAGGTAAGCAAAAGATCTGGTGAAAGAAAGGTAGGCTTCCCTAAAACCGTCACGTAACCAACGGAAATAAAAGTGAGCATACAGACTTAAATTCTCAGATTGTGAGCACCCTGCCTGGACGCCGTGGAATTCTGCGCGTTCTTGAAATGCTAAATGTGTCTGATTTGGTTTTGTTTCCCCCTGAAATTAGAACGTGGCGTCTGTGACTCCTGTCTCATTTATGCATAAATGGGAGTGATCTGTTTTTTTTTCATTTTTGTGCCTTGTACTCCTGAGATCTCCGTTTAAAGGAAGTCACAGCAGCTTCAAAAACTACTCTCTCGGTCACCTTTTTGGGTACGCTTGTCATAGTTCCTGCCAGACTGGGCTGTGTTCTCACAGGGACGGACACTCAGAGGCTGAAACTGGCACGAGGTTGTCCTTCCCCGAGTGGGTCTGACGGCTCGCCCGCCGTGAGTGTGACCGCTGGAGACAGGACGCTGACAGGGTCTGTCCGCAGGGGCCCGTTCGCGCCCTGGTGCCCCTCACCCTCGCTGCCAGCGCCCCAGTCTTCGTGCATGCTGGTTCTGGCGGCTTCCACCTCTAGTCTGCTTGTCCTCCACGGTCACCTGGAGTCCGTCCTTCCGTCAGCCAGCTTCCTTGGTGCCCCCGGCTGTCCCTAAATCATGTTTCCTCTCTTCCCCTTTGGTCTTGGTTACATTGTCCGTTTGTAATGTCTAAGTTTCTACTTCCGTTCCTGCTTTGTGGGCCTCGCAGGGCAGGGGCAGGGTGGAGGAGGTGGAGTTCGGTGCCCTGGGTGAAGTGCATGGGTCCTGAGCCTGGGGTCGCTCGCCCCTGTGGCCTGGCCCCTGGCCCCTTACGTCGGCTCTTGTGATGCTTCAGCAAGCACCTGGGGCTGTCACAGGCTCCTGCTGGAAAATCTGTCGATTGGGGGCAGGGGCATCAGGGAAGCAACCTGAGATTGAAACTGAACAAACAAAATCAGAATTCGCGAAGCCGGTACGTGGGAGCGGGCCAGTGCTGCAGGTGTCGCCTCGCTGTCAGCTCACCCAGGTCCTGCCCCTGTCCTGGCTCCCCGTCTCCGCGGTCTTTTCCTGGTTGGGATGGTGAGTGCCCAGGGGCCCTTCACATTGTAAAGGCGCACAGCATGTGCTGTATACATTATACAATGTATAATCACATTGTAAAGGCGCATGTCTGTAAGCGCTGAGTAGGCACCTGCTCTGGCTTCCCCACCACCGAAATTCGGCATGTAGTATTTTAAAAATTATGGGTTTTAGAAGACTTTCAGGTGTGCTGAAAACCTGTACAGGAAGTGCAGAGGGTTCCCGCGTGCCCTCTGCCCTCACGCAGTGCCCCGCACTGACATCTTGCATCTGGTGCTACACGTGTTACATTACTCTGAACGCTTGGTGGATATTGATCTGTTATTAATTCGAGTCCAGGGGTTACGTTAGGGGTCAGTCTTTGTGTCATATGTTCTGTGGGGTCAGGACACGTGCACGGCACATACCTGCCGTTACGATGTCCTTCCCCCCACCCCCCGCCCCTTCCAGCCACTAATCCCGTGAGGTCTGTGGTTTTGTTTGGCTGCGTGGTAAATGAACAGGCCCTGGGCTGGATCTGAGGAGCCGGATGGCAGGAAGCTAGCTCGCTGAGCCGGTTTTGCAGAGAAAAATGGAGAGTGTGCGTGGCGCTTGGCCACTTTTGACCCGAGGTGCCCAATAGCATTTGCAGCGTGTCTACAAGGAATATCTGTGGGCCTGTGATGAGCCTTCCCGGGAGGAGACACTCCCAAGCTGAAGAGTGTGCCTCCCAGCCACCACCGGTCAAAGCCATGGTCCCGGCCCAGCTCAGCGGGGCAGAGGCTGGAGCTGCGCAGACACTCCTGTGCAGGTTATAGAAGTGGTTTCATTTACTTCGTGGTCAGACACCTAAAACGAAGGGCACACGTTTCCTGTCCTCATGTGGAGGAGGCTGTAGACAGATGACCACAGTGAGGGATAATGGTGGTGAGAGCAGTGGCAGTGCCGGTGACGCATCTGCGCCACGTCATGGCCGGGTGTGTACTTGCCAACACCAGCGTGGCTCCTGGTGACAAGTGTGGCCCCCGGGTCTGAGGTGCCGTCGAGCAAGTGAGTTGCTCCTTGTCGGCCCGAGCTGGTCCACACTCGCTGACGGCGAGAGCGGCGTCCTGGAGCCGCGGATGGTGTCAGGAGAGCGCGCCCAGGCAGGGGCTGTGGCCGCCACAGCAGGATGCCAGAGCCGCTCCTCAGGGACCATGTGGCCTTTCCCCTGTGTGTGCTTTGTCTCTGCGGCAGCCGCCAGGTGGCCGTGAGTGACCGGCTCTCTGTGACTCGAGTCCCCTGGCCCGGGGCCTGGTAGGGTACGGTAGCTTGTTGTCAGGTCCGTGATTGGCCAAGCCGGGGGACAGTATCAGGGCCCCTGGTCCTGTGAGCGCAGGCGCTCTGGTTCGGCAGCTGCCAGCTGGGGGCACACCCAGGCGGCCACGCCCGTGACTGCTCTGGCCCAGCCGCCCCCGCTGCCCTCCAGCGCCAGCCTTCTAAGGAGTCGTTGACAACGTTCAGCCGAGTGGGCATCACCGGGACACCCGTGTGTCTAGGAGATGCTGACATGATGGCAGTGTCGATCCACGTGAAGTGACGACAGGGAGTCCTTTAAGTGTAGGGGCGGGGGGGAGGGACAGAATGCTCCTGGTTGTGCCACATTATTAAAATTTTATCTTATATTTTTGGCTTGGAATCTAAGCTCCACACGCAGTTGCTGGCGTGTCTGAATTTCTTTTAACTTTATGTTCCCCGCCCCTAACACACACACCTATCTGTGCATTTGCATCCTTGGAGCTCACTTGTCAAAAGACCTGGATCATTTTCTCCCGGGGGGTTGCCCACAGCTGGGTTTTCCTGACTGTGGCCCTTTGCAGTGTCTGCACCTTTGTCCTCCGAGTGTGAACCCGGGGGCTGGATGTGGCGTGGCCATCAGGTCAGGCTCCGGGTCCTCTGTGGTGAGGTTCCTGCGTGGGGTGCTTCCGCCAGGGGGGCCGCGGGCGGGCGTCTCAGGGCTCCCACCCGCTGGGGCTGGGGGCCAAGGTCTGTCACGTCCAGCAGCCTAAGGACCTGCATGGAAGGAAGGTGAGGAAATACCGGTTCTCTCCTTTGCTTACCTGTGTTTATGTCTCGTAAGGCAGGTACTGAGTTTTCTCGTCTGTGAAGCCACAGACTTGAGCCTGTTGTGTTTTGGCGCCTGCAGTTTCCCCGCCCTCCCCGTTTTGGGGGCCGTCTTCCTCTTCTCTGTGACCACGGCGTGCCTGGGCGGTGGCTGCAGGGACCGTCCCTCCCGTGGCTCTTCCTGACCTGTCCCAGCAGCAGGGAGGGGAGCCTGGGACAAAGCCCACTGGGCAGTTGGTAACAGTCCTGAGTCCAGGTCCCGGCAGCGAGAGAAGGGAGAGGTGTTCGTAATTAAGTTCTACCTTTTTTACAAGTTTGAACTTGCGTCCAGAGGAAAAGTTGGAAAAGTGTGTGTGTGTCGTGCACACACGTGCCTGTACTGAGATGTTTGTGTACGGAACGTGCCTGTGCCGGCTGGACCCGGGGACCTGGGAGGCACTGTCCGCATAAACTTGGATTTCAGGAAATTACCAAGCCGTAGCTCTTGGCCGTACGCATTGTTCTTTTCCTCTTGTTCCAGGTGAATGAAAACTTCGCCATTGACTTGATAGCTGAGCAGCCCGTGAGCGGAGCCGACAGTCGTGTGGTCGCGTGCGATGGCGGCGGGGGGGCTCTTGGCCACCCGAAAGTGTACATAAACCTGGTACCGTGCCACCTGTCCTTGCTCTCCTAGTGTGAGGTGCCCTGTTCAGAGCGGCCCTTGCAGCGCTGACCCCGACCGCACACCTTCCCGCTCGACCTGCCCGCAGACCCTGCGGCCGGGACCGGGTGAAGGGCGCCTCTCCACCGGGGCCGCGCCCTGAGGTGCGGCGCGAAGTACTTGGTGTTGCCAGTGCTCACCGTCCGCGCCCCTTCCACACGCCTGCCCCGTCTTCCTGGGGCCGTCGTTTCGGCCCGTGCGCCCGCGGATGAGCGCACGCAGAGCCTTAGGGGAGATGGGTGCGGGCCGTTAGGGCAGAGAAGGGGACCAGGGGCTGAGGCTCAGAGCTGCTGTGGCATCAAGGAAGGGGAAGGAGTCAGCGGTGCCCGCAGTGCCCTGTCTGCCAGGGGCTGGTCCGTGCCTGGACTGGACCCCCCGCGGGGGGTGGGGGGCGGATGGGCCTCGAGCTCGGGCCGGAAGCGGCCGCTGTGCCCGTCCTTGCTGCCTGCGGCAGTCCTTCTGGGGGACCTTGTGTTCCGGGGGCGCCTGCGCTGGGGGTTGGTCCGCTGCCCGAGACTCGGGGTGGAGGCAGACCGGGGCCTCCGGTGCCGTCGTGGGTCGTGGTCCCGTAGCGAGCGCAGGGCTTTGCAGCCGCCCCTGGGTGAGGCTGCTTCGGGTTCTGTGCGTGGGTCACGTCCGCCGTCTCAGTGCTCACCCTGAAGGAGCACGTGGAGGCATCAGCTCTTTCTTTCCTCTTGTGTCTTTTCCAGGACAAAGAAACAAAAACCGGGACGTGTGGCTACTGCGGACTGCAGTTCAGGCAGCAGCATCACTAGGGCGGCCGGGCCGGCGCCTCCGCATCCACGCGGGCCGGGGCGCCACCGTCTGAATAAAGGGCGCTGTGACCCAGGCCGCCGAGCCGCTGTGGTGCTGCTTTCACAGACCGGGACTTGGGAACAAGCGCTCCTGGGAAGCGCAGCCTGAAGCAGGGTCCTCCCAGCGAGCGATTGCAGGGGGGGCGGGGACGGGAGGGGGAAGGGCTTCTCAGACTCTGCAGAGGAAATGGAGATTTGTCAGGCTCAGGGACTCCCCTGGGGGCCGGTGCTGGGTTCAGGCCTCCACCCTGTGACTGGAAACGCATGCTCTCCCTGCCACTCCCCTGCATTCATGCTTCTCTGTTCTCATCTTTAGGCTGAAATACAGACTCTTAAAGCCCAGGAATTTAAGCATCTTTGGAAGGTACAGCCACCTACAGGCTAAATTCAGGGTGGTCTGTGTGATTAAAAGTGAGGAGTGTGAGGTAACACGGAAGTAGCAGGACTTCAGAGGGGAGGGAAGGAGGCTGGTGCACCCCGTGCGCCCTGACCTGAGGTCCGGGGGCCTGGAGGAGGCTCCTGGCGCAGGCGGCAGCTAGGGCGCTGAGACCACGGGGCACCAGCATCCCGGGGACCCGGGAGCGAGGACAGCGGCTGTGTTCTGGTCACAAAGTCCTGAAGCCCCAGCCTTAGGGGCTGGAGGAGAGGAAACTGCTAGAGCTTCTGGAGGAAGGAATAGATGGCCCGGCGGAGAGGTTGGCCCACGGACGCCTGAGTGCAGCACCGGGAGCAGGGCCAGCGGCCTCGAGCAGTCAGGAGGCCTGTGCACACGTCTCCCAGAGCTGCTCCTGGGCCCCGTCTGGGGCAGCCCAGGCCTCGGGCAGGGGGAGCTGCCGGGGCAGAGTCTGGGCTCGGCCTAAGCCGCACAGTAGGTCCTCACAAGGAGAGGGCAGTCAGAAGGTCGGCGTCTGATGAGCGCGTGAGAGAGGAGGGGCGTGGGGTGGGGAGGAACAGGGCCAAGGGACCCTGGGGCAGGGGTGGGGTACCGGGAGCAGGGGCGGGGTCCCGGGAGCGGGAGCAGGGTGGATGTGCCAGGGAGATCGCGCTGCCTCGGGGTCTGGTAACCTCAGGGGCTGACTGGGTGCAGCTGCCTGGCGCAGCGGCTGCCAGGGGAGAGAACCAGCCACATGAGGAGCTTGGGGTGGGGGTCGGGAGGCGTCACTACTGAGAGCTGTGGGTGGGGTGTGATCAGATGGTGGCATCACCATGCAGAGGTTCAGAGGCCCGGATGAGGTGACATCCATGTGAATTCACGGCTGGAGCGCAGAGTCCCATGATGTCACGCACAGCACGGGCGTGCGCTTGTAACATCAGGGTCTGGAGGATGTCGTCAGGCAGAGTGTAGGGTAGAGGGTGGGGTCAGTGACATCCTCACGCAGGGCATGGGAGCGTGGTGCCGATGGTGTCACCTGCGGAGCACAGGATGCGTGGTCTGGATGTCGTCTGGTGGAGCAGGGGCTGCGTGGGCCCGAGTGAGGTCATCCACAGGGATTATCCGGGCAGGTGGCAGGGTCCTGAAGGATGGCCGCCCTGAGCCCCTGCCCCCTGCCTGGCCAAGTCGTGGTCCTCCTGGGCGGGCACGCCAGGAAGGGGCTGGTGAGTTTGGGCTCCCTGTGTGTGGGTGTGGCAGTCACAGGCTGTCGGACGGGATGTGTTGGGAGCCTTTCTCCCACCGCGGGGTTGGTGATTTCCCGCGTAGTTGGGGAGGAAAGGTGCTTCGCCAGCGCGGCCCTGGGGAGGGCGCCCCCGCACGCTGGGGCTGGGAACTGCACCGGCCTGTCGGAGGCCCCGGGTCCAGAACGGGGTGGCCCCTGGGCCATCCCTCTGAAGGCACTAGCAAGCGTCTTCCAGGCCTCCCTGTGGCTTCTGGGAGGTCCTGGGCTCACAGGCCGTCACCCCCTCCCCTCCATCCTGCCCGAGTGTCTGCTCACACGGCCTTCCTGGAAGACCACCAGTCTCTGGCAGGGGCCCCTGCTCCACCGGGACCTAGTCTCCAATGACACCTGCAAAACGGGGTTTCTAAGCAAGGCCCGTTCTTCCACTCTGGGGATGAGGGTTCAGGGGGACATCCCCCCCCCCCCCCCCGGTAAGGGGGCAGGTGCACGCTCCTGCCCGGCATCAGAGCAGACTGCCCCCCAGTCAGGTGTGCCGTGGGCTGGCTGCAGGGCCGGGGAGAGGGTGACTTGGCACCACCGGCCACCATGTCCACACTAGAAGGACAGCGTGTCCTCGCAAGGAGCCATGGGAGAAGAGGGGCTTCGCCTTCCCTTTATGAGAACGTTTTCTGGAAAAACACAAATTTGACAAATTTGCATAAGGTGAAAATCTAACATTTTGTCTGTCAGTTAACCTTGAGACATAAAAGTGGAAATACTTAATTTCTGAAGCCAGAGGAAGCAAACAAAAGCCTATTAAATTTGGGAACACCTGAATGCAGACTTCATCAGAGGGACCAGAGGCACCGAGGAGCCCGAACACAAACAACGGAGACCCCGGCCTGAGGGCGAGGGCCCCTCCTCCCAGCTCAGAAATAAAGCTACTTCCTTGTTCTTTTCCCCTGGGGCGGGGGGGTACCTCATGCCCTAAGTACAGCTCTGTCCGGGGACAGTGCGGTGTGTGCTGGGCGTGCACCTGCCCCCAGCGGGCCCCCCGGGTCCAGGCTGCCCTGTCCTGCAGGTGGGAAGCTGAGGGAGGCCTCGCCTGACCGCCTGCACCCTCGCGGAGGGGGTCTGGTATCCAGCCCGGCCCTGTGCCCCCCACTCTGCCGCCCATGCTAACTTTCCTCTCCGGGGCCTGCTGAGAGCAAGAGTAAACATGATGAGCAGTGATTTGATGAAGAGGAAACTATCAAAATGACTTGTCCACGAGCAAGCCTGTAAGCGCTGCTCATGGGCAGTGTCCCTGCGGCACGGTCCCTGGCATGGACCCCTTGTGCAAACGTGTCTGCCCAAGCACAGTTAGCTTTCAGCACCGCCAGGAGGGAAGGACGCTGCTGATTGGGGGGGTGGGGGGGGACACAGCCCCTCCTCCCCTGCCCTGGTGACCCTGGCAGGTGGTGGTGCCGGCCAGTAGCAGGCTGGTTCCGCCAAGGCCCGGGCTGGCGTGCTGGGGCTGGGCCCCGCGTTGACTGTCGCTGCCCGCCTCCTTTGCTGCTTCTCTGGCTGGAGAGAACCGGCTTCAGGTTCCGCACGCAGGTTTTGGCCTCCAGGGCTCCTGAGGCCCAGGGGAGACCCAGGAGCTCAGCTTGTGTGTCCTGGGCCAGTGGCCCAGCTGCGCTGCCACGCCCCCGTCAGAGTCCTTGACCTGTCACGTGTGCAGCGCCCAGCGCGGCACGGGGTGGGAGGGACGGGGAAGGCACGTGGGCTCCACGTTCCTGGAAGCAGAGGACCACGCCATCTCCCGCGGGGAAGGACACGCATGTTCAGGACTGGGTTTGCCGGGCGTTGGGGACGGCTCTGCTGGCCATGGGGACTGTGGTGCTGCAGGAGGCAAGGTGGGGCGGCCTGGCACCAAGTCCGCGAGCCAGTGCGCTTGCCAGAACCGTCAGCGTGTGGGCCCGGGCTCCGGGCTCCACCGGGAAACACTCTGTGTGGATACCACCCAGACTGGACCCTTCGCCTCCCGGTGCTCACGAGGGGCCCCCTGGGCCTGGTGGCCATGGCCACAGGGAGGGAGGCCGTGTGTGACCCCTCTCCCGGCTGGCTTGATGGAGGTCGCCTGCCAGCTCACAGGCCAACGCGGGAGCTCGCTGGGTCCCTCCCGCAAAGCGCCCACCTCATCAGGAGGGGCACGCACTCTGGGTACGGTGGCTGTCCCTGCCCCCGGGCCCCTGCCTCCTCTCAGCAGGTGTTCATGGCCCTCCACGGCACAGTGTGTTGCCCAGTGGTGACCAGTGCACGCGAAGGCCTGGGGCCTAGGACGGCAGGAGGCCCAGCCCCCCACAGTCGGGCTCAGGGGTACACGTTGGGAAGACACACTTCTCATCCTGTGGCCTTGGGCTCTGTGGGTTCCACATGTTCTTCCCGCCTTCTTGTGCAGGGTTCCCACCCGCCAGGCCTGGAGGGCCAGCTCTGTGAGCACAAGGACCCAGGGGCTGTAGCCAAGGGCCCTCCAGCCATCAGTGCCGTTCGGTGGCCAGTCACGGCCGTTAGTGGCCAACAGGACAGCAGACAAGACCAGTGAGCCCGCACACTTCTGGGAGTGAAGGCCGAGGGGAAGGGGGGCGCTGTCAGGGGGCGAGGCGGCCGCTGGCAGCCACACGGTCTGGCGCTGCAGCAGGTGGCTTCCTTCTAGGTCCCGTGGAGCCTGGTCCCCTGGGCCTGTGCAGGGTGCGCTGGATGCTAGTGCAGGATGGCCAACCTTGGCCTGGGAACCTGCCTTGGGGGCCAGTGCACCCCGACTGCTTTGGAGGTCTCCCTCAGGAGACTGGTGCTGATGTCCTTAAGGCCAGTGACGGGTGAGGTGTGGAGGCCGAGCCCCCCACGCAAAGTAAGTGGGCACCGGAGAGCAGAGCAGGTGCGCCAAGGCTGGGCCTCACTGAGGTCAGAGTGGCCAAGGGGGTGCCTCGGCCAGGTGGGCGCTCCTGGGGTGCTGCGGCCGCCCCGTCCAGGGGAGGACAGGGGCCAGCTGAGATGTTGCAGGGACACACGGAGGGGAGGGACTGGGGAGAGGAAGGGTGCCGAGTGACAGGATGTGCGAGGGGGTGGGGAAGGGCCCCCTGTGGGAGGGACCTGGGACTTCAGCGAGACAGACCGGGGAGGCTTGGATCCTGGGGCTCCTTCCCCGGCCCTCCCCTTCTGTGGCCCGCAAGTGAGGAAATACAGAAAAAAACAGCTGCGTTTTCTTTGACTCTGAAGAGGTTTTTTCCAGGTTTGTCCTGGCCGCATCGTGGCCACCCTGCCTTCCGTCCCCTGAAAGGCTGTGTGTTGAGACAGTTTGCCCTGCACTGTGAGCCTTGAGAATCTGTGTGAAATGTGTTAGTTTTGTTGTAACAAACTTAAATTAAAAAATAAAATTAAGGGGCGCCTGGGTGGCTCAGTCGGTTAAGAGCCCGACTTCGGCTCAGGTCATGATCTCACAGTTTGTGGGTTCGGGCCCCGCGTCAGGCTCTGTGCTGACAGCTCAGGGCCTGGAGCTGCTTCGGATTCTGTCTCCCTGTCTCTCTGCCACTCCCCTGCTCACGCTGCTTCTCTCTCTCTCTCTCAGAAATAAATAAGACAAAAAAAATAATAAAATTAAGAAGATTAAAAAAAAGTTTGTGGTTAGGGTTTCTGGGAAGGATGGAGAAAGGATGGAGAAGCTGCAAGAGCGCGTCTTCCCCGGACGGAGCAGAGCGGGGCCCC